CCCCCCCCCCCCGGACCTTCTTCACCTTTGTTTTAACATGTAACATTGTTTTATCTTGTGGACATTTTGCATCACGTCTCTCATAGGCAAGTAAGTTCGGTGATGCCTCTAGTTTTTACGTCTGGATCAGCGCTCATGTCTGGAACAAAATTGTATTGAACAAATGTTCAGTCAAGTGACACTTGATAGCCTTTTAGAACATTTAATGAGAGGGTACTCCTTTGTTAAAGTGTAGACAAATCAGCTGCAAATTATTCTGTACATAATTTGGAATGTAGTCGTGGTTGTATTTACTTGGCTGTGAAGAGGTTCAGTCAGCCCGGTTGGCTAGACGGCCGGTTTACAATCTAAACCGATGTTACCGCCATGAGTTCAATTCCTGCACTGGCTGAGATGACAGTGAAGAACTCTGCTTCTCAATCTCTCCCCTTGCTTGAAGTGTGGTAACTCCAAGTTAAAACATCACCGGTTGTCTTACTCTAAAGAGATTACAGCCCTATGTTGTGGTAAGACTATGGTGACTTTACCCTTTTTAGTTAGCTGTGAAGCACTTTTGGACATTGAAGTTTCAGAAAAGTACTGAACAAGTGCAAGTTCTTTACAAACATTGTGAAAATGTCAGTGTCATCTGTAGTAATTTCTAGGATTTGAGCTTAGTCATGTGCTTAAATATGCTCTTGTCAACTGTTGTACTACTGATTATACTGTTGAATTTCAACCTAGCCTTTGGAAGGGTTGAGTTGTACAAGTGGCCAAAACTGAAGGGATAGAATTCTGAATTATGGATTTATTTATCTTTGAACTACTTTGCCTTTTCCACCACTCTCACTATCCAACCACCATGCCCTCTCCTTATCCAAATTTGGCGTGAACAGTTCTGAGTTTATAACTACAGTGCTTTTGCAGGATGGTGTTTGATTTGAATACAGTCAGAGTTGTACATCTCACACATAACCTTTTGGTTGAACTCGTCCATACTGACCAGATAACCTAAATAAATCTAGTCCTATTTGCAGGCATTTGGTCCATATCCCCTGAAACCCTTCCTATTCATGTACCCATCCAGATGCTCTCTAAATGTTGTGATTGCACCAGTCTCCTCCTCCTTCCTTTGGCAGGTCATTCCATACATGCACCACCATCTGCATGAAAAAGCTGCCCATTAGTTCCCTTTTAAATCTTTCCCCTCTCACCTTAAAATTTGCCCTCTAGTTTTGGATTCACCTACCCTGGGAAAAAGACCTTGACTATTCACCCTATCCATGCCCCTCATGATTTTATAAACCTCTACAAGATCACCCCTCAGCCTATTCAGCTACCCCCTTTAGCTGAAACCCTCCAACCCTGACAACACCCTTGGAAATATTTTCTGCACCCTTTCAAGTTTAACAACATCTTATTGTATAACTAGCTTTGTCACCAGTAGGCTACGTTCAGGCACTCATGAAATTAAATACCTGTACACTTATTTTCCTAAATATTTGAACCACATTAAGTTAAAAGTATGTTTTAAAAATAATTAGCACCTGTATCTTTTTTAAAAAAAGTTCTGAATCATCGCTGCATTAGATGACATTCTCAAAGCAAGCAATGTGCTTTCTCTGGATGTTTACTGTATACACAGGGAAGACATAGATTTATTCCTAAGATTAGCCTGATTCTTCTGAATTCTAAGTGAGTGATCTAATTTGAAAACAAATTACCTGGTGCATAATTTCCTTTTTTTCTGGAGTGCGCGCTGCACGCTCTGTAATTTAGTCTCATTGAAATGTTTTAAGAATTGGCAACAAAATCAGTCTCCATTGGGGTTTGAGTGAGTGGGTAATATAGACTTATAGAATGCAGCACAGAAAGAGATGATTTGACCCAGCAATTCTGTACTAGCTGTTCCAAACTGTAATCCAATTTATCCTACTTCCCTGCTCTTTACCAATATTCCTGCCAATCTTTGAAATCCTAGCTACCTGTTGGTTTTTTTTTAAATAGTAAAGCTTTTCGCATGTCACTTATGCTTCTTGCTATCTTTCGGTGAAACTCTAACGTAAGGGGAATATCCTGCGGGCATTGGATTTTTGAAGCAAGCACAAAAAGAAAATTTCTGCAGAAGCCCATATCAGACTTTAAATGTTAATTCTGTTTGTCTCTCCAGAGATGCTGCCAGACCCTCTGAGTAGCTCCAGCATTTTCCATCTTATTTCTTGAAAGACTGCCCATTGCTAAATGATATTTCTGCCTACCTGTTTTTTTTTTTCCCAATGCATCCATCCTAAGTTCACTAAATGTGTTTCAGAGATAGTAGGAACTGCAGATGCTGGAGAATCTGAGATAACAAGCTGTAGAGCTGGATGAACACAGCAGGCCGAGCAGGAAGGCTGACATTTCGGGCCTAATCCCTTCTTCAGAAGGGTCTAGGCCCGAAACGTCAGCTTTCCTGCTCCTCTGATGCTGCTTGGCCTGCTGTGTTCATCCAGCTCTACAGCTTGTTATCTCTCTTCACTAAACGTGTACTTGTTTCCTTCATTATAGTTTTCACTTTAGGGACTGTTGTTCTGTCACCCTGGATTAGATTTGAAGTGCGAAATGAGTTTACGCAATAGAACATAGAACAGTACAGCACAGGAACAGGCCCATCAGCCCACGATGTTGTGCCAAGGATGATGCCAAATTAAATAAACCCTTGTGCCTGACCTTGGTCCATATCCCTCCTTTCCTTGCATATTCATGTGCTTATCTGAAAGCCCGTTAAATGCCCCTATCTTATCTGCCTCCACCACCCTGGTAGCACTGTCCAGACACCAACCACCCTGTGTTCTTTTTTTAAAAAAAAGTGCCCCTCATGTCTCTTTTGAACTTTCCCCCCTTACCTTAAATGCATGACCTCATGAGTTAGATATTTCAGCTCTGGGGGAGAAAGATTCTGACTGTCAACTCTATCTATGCATGCTGCTTCAAAGAAAACAACCCTAGTTTTTCTAGGAGCAAATTATTGCAGATGCTGGAATCTGTACTGAAAACAACAAATGCTGGAGATCAGAGGGTCGGACAGCATCCATGGAGAGACCACATCTCAAGTCCAGAAAACCCCCCACCCACTCCACCCTCCCCCCCCCATCAGAGCTGAAGTGAAGTGTTGGGGGTGGGGCAGCACCCACGCTGTAGTTGGCGGGGGGGGGGGGGCGCGCGGGGGCGGCATGGGGGGAGTAGGGGCGGTGAGGTTGTGGCGGGGTGCAGAGTACTGGTGGAGAAAAGATGTTGATAGTTCAGACTAAGTGATCGAAATGACAGAACAGTGGTGTCCAACTGCCAGACCCAAGGGAGAAGATGGTCCCACTTGGGTGGGGGGAAGGTTGAGAGGACTCAGCGAGAAAGAATGCAACAAGCTAAAAGAAAGGGGATAAATGGGAGTTGGTTCACAATTTGAAGGTGTTGAACTCAATCTCGTGCCAATTTCTAGTCAACATAGGTGAGCAATAGGGATTGGTATATAACGCAGGGCAAGAGTTATAGCTGGGGGAAAGGCAATTATGAGGCGATGAGGCAAGATTTAGGATGTATAGGATGGAGAAGGAAACTGCAGGGGCTGGGCACAATTGAAATGTGGAGCTTGTTCAAGGAACAGCTACTGCGTGTCCTTGAGAAGTATGTACCTGTCAGGCAGGGAGGAAGTGGTTGAGCGAGGGAACCGTGGTTTACTAAAGAAGTTGAATCTCTTGTCAAGAGGAAGAAGGAGGCTTATGTAGAGATGAGGCATGAAGGCTCAGTTAGGGCGCTTGAGAGTTACAAGTTAGCCAGGAAGGACCTAAAGAGAGAGCTAAGAAGAGCCAGGAGGGGACATGAGAAGTCTTTAGCAGGTAGGATCAAGGAAAACCCGAAAGCCTTCTATAGGTATGTCAGGAATAAAAGAATGACTAGAGTAAGATTGGGGCCGGTCAAGGACAGTAGTGGGAAGTTGTGCGTGGAGTCCGAAGAGATAGGAGAGGTGCTAAATGAGTATTTTTCGTCAGTATTCACACAGGAAAAAGACAATGTAGTCGAGGAGAATACTGAGATACAGTCTATTAG